CATTGGGGGGTGGGTACCCGAATTTGACAGGTATCGGCTCCCAATTGTGGTCGGACCGCCTAGGCGATCGGAAACAGAAGGTGTCCTCCCTCCCACCCTGTAGTCTTTTGGGACGCGTGACAGGTCCCAGAAGACTACAGGACCTTCACGAAGTGCAGTGCTACTCGCGCATTCGCGCAGTGGGTACCCGGCTGTGAAGCCGCAAGCAGTCACAACCGGGTGCCCACGTTGAAGATGCCGGCCTCCAGGAATCCAGGATGGCCGCTGAAACGGGCTGTGGGGGACACACCACGGGACCGAGGGACAGGTAAGTGGCTTTTTTTAAAAGTCAGCAGCTACAGTTTTTGTAGATGCTGACTTTTATTTTTTGACAGGATGAGTGGAACTCTGCTTTAAATCTCTGATTCCTGACCCCGTGACACCCCTATATAAAAATGTTGTCAAAAGTTTCAATCTATTTCATCTGCTACTATAAATGTGTTTTTATTTTTGCATGTACCTCTGTTGGAAAGATTTATTATGACTCTTTTCTATGACTATAACTTTTTTCTACTCTGTCCAAAACAAAATAACAAGTTTTGGCTGGAGATGGGATTTAATGATTTTTTTTTAGATAAAAATATCCTAGATAGATATTAGGAATTGTTTCAATGTGTTCGGGTAGATTTAGACATGCATTTAAATCCACCACTCCTCTGAAGAGCGGCTTGTGTTCGGATCACTATTCAGAAACGATTCAGAAATGTGATGCCTATTCACCGCTGGTTTAAACTCCATTTCTGTGGAGAAGCATGCTGCAACGGCAGGCACTGCACACGTTTGCAGCGATTCTCCGTTCACTTGAATAGGTTGCGTTTGGTAGGCTTTCTGCAAGCCAATTGCAATATGTTAGGTAGTTTTTGCATGTAAATATCCCCTTCCACTGCCATTTGCAGCTTAAGGGAGGGGCAGTCAGGGAGTAGTAAAATGGGTCTCAGCTGCAAATTTTTACCACCCCCAACTACATGTTTAACCCCTTGATACTGACGTGACACAAATATGCGGCCTCACAGAACTGGGCTTTTTTCCATGGGGCCGCATATTTGTGTACCTGTCTTTCTGCTGGGAATGCGCCGCACAGCGCGCTCCCAGCACAAAGACCACAGCGTCACTAAGAGCCCCGGGTCCCTTTATAACGATCGGGACCTGGGACTCCCAATTCCAGGTCACATGATCGCTGTGATAGCCTCTGACTATCACAGTGATCAGTCACTGTACAGCCAGGCTACCTTATGTTTTTTTTTCCTCTATGAATGTGGGAGAGAGATACATTGTTTCTCTCTAACTCCTGGCATAGAGGGAAAAACAATGTTTGTAGAAAAAAAAAAAAAGATAAATATTAAAAAAATAAAAAAAATAAAATAAAAATACCTAGATCAAGGTTTGATCTAGTTCAATGCCAGGGTAAGTGTTTGGGTCAAGGTCAGGGTCAAAGGTCAGGATTGGTATCAGTGTCAGTTAGTGTCAGTGAGTTTTAGGTAAAACAAAAAACAAAACGTGCACTATTGATTCTGGGCTGTACTACGTGTACAAACAACAAATAATATACACATATTTGGTATCACTGCGATCGTCAAGAGCTGGAAAATTTATTTTGGGTTGATCTTTGGTGGTGGGTTATGGTAGTAACAAGAAACACACAGCTAAATTAAAAAAAAATATTTTTTTTTTTAATTTGGGCCAGTTTTCCTTTGATAATAAAAAAAAATCAGGAGATATCCATTTCCCACCAAATGAAATCCCAATTTGTCCTGAAAAAATAAAGGTATAATCCACCTGGATGTACAAAGTAGTTGTGATGATATGTACGGTGTTACTAACACATGTCAAGGTTGCAAATTTGTGCTTAGGCATTTAGATTTGTTTTACCCTTAGGCGTGAAGGGGTTAAACTAAGCTTTTCAAAACCTGAAGTTGAAGGTGTACTTTATGCAGCTTAAATACACAGTAACTTTTCCCCTACATTTCTGGACATTCCAAGCTCTTAACTGATCTGTTTCTGCTGGACTTCAGTTTTTGGACACTAGCCATGAAAACAATGGGTGCTTATGCTAACATTTCCAAGAATTGAGACTGATGCTTGTATGTAATGTAATATGTTGTAATATATTTACATTACACCTTTTTGGGATGCACCTTTTTAACTACTGTATGTTAATTACGCACGAAGAAAAATTTTCAGAACAATTTCCGTATTCTAATTGTTCTCACATATGTGTTAAAATAAAGATTTGGACAGCAAGAATTTGGACAGCCATCTCACATATACCATGTGAGATGGGATTTCAAATCATCCCCTTATATCAGAAATGAACAATAGAACCTTAAACAGCTTTTCATTATTGAAAAACTAGACACAGAACTGCAAACCTCTATGTGCACTAAATGTTTTTTCAAGAAATGAAAACACTTTATTGAAGCAACTTTAAGGCCAGGTTCACACTTGTGCATTTTTTTATGCATTTGCAGGAATGCAATGAATACCATTTATTATGATTTCCTATTGATCACGTTCACATCTATGCAGTTTTTGCGGCCACATTTTTTGGAAAGGGTCAGGGACTTTTTTCCTGCAGCAGTTTGCGTTTTCAGTCCAATAGACTTCAATGGAACCACATATAACACGCAAGTGCTGTGTTTTGCATGCGTTTTTTACACGTTTTTGATGAATTTTTTAATTGGCCCAGCTACAAGTTGGCCAAAAAATAAAAATGCAAAACGCGTCAAAAACGCATGTGCAAAAACACGAAGCGCACCACAAAAAGCATTGCACAAACGGATCAAACGCAAACTACGTGTGAATCTAGCCTAAGCGTCCCTTTATATACATGGAGTGGTCTGCTAAGACCCAAAATACCAATACACTGAGCACTCTACAGATTTCTTGAAACTTTTTATTGTGATTTGTTTTTTACATGTATAGGCTGGCAACATTACCCTTATCACCCTTCTAATGAGTTACTATGTAAAAATGTCTACTTTTTCCTTGCTATCAGGTTAGATAGGTCTTTTTTATTTTCCCTTTTCGTCATCTGCCCACCATCTCTCCAATTACATATGCTATTGAAATGGTGTGCCATTGAGAGCTGCTTTATAATTGTAAACATACTCATGTAGCATTACCTGCACTGATTCTTGCATATCAACAGATGATGTCTTGTTTTGTCCACTTGAAAAATGAGAAAACAAAAGCATGCCAGGACACAGAGGCGTCACTAGGGTTGGTGTCACCTGGTGCAGTAACACATGGTGTCACCCCAGTGTTGGGAGATGGAAGGATGTCCTGTGCAGGGGCTGGCCAGTGATGTTTGATGCAGAGGGGAAGGGTCGTTACCATTCATAAACTGACATTTAGAGTAGGAGCCGTCCAATCAGAGGGCGGGGGCGCGAGCACCGCTCCGGTGTATGGGGGGACAGGCTGGGCGTGAATTGGCCTTTGATCCTGGGGATCAGGCACCCCCCCCCCGCTGGGCCCCCCCCGCTGGGACCCTACATCTGACCCCCCGCATTGCACAGCTGTTCCTGGGGCTGCGAGAGGGATGAGAAGCCCCTGTACCCAGGGAGAGGACAGGGGACACTCCATTCAGATGGATGACAGCCACTGACAGCTCTTCTTTTCATTTTCGTGCCACCCCGTGATGGTGTCACCCAGTACGGCCAGCACTCCCCGCACCCCCTAGTGATGCCACTACCAGGACATTATATGTGAAAATTTACTCACTATATTGTATAACCAGTGCTACACAATTGCTTCACTTTACTACTATGTCTTACAATGGATGTCTAAGCTGTCAGACTCACTTGTGTGACTGTTATCTTATCTCAAGACTCACTGACAGCTCCCTCTAGTGACTCATCTACAAATCTTTACATTTAATGCAAAAAACAAAATATGGAAGATGTAAAAAAATGTAAAAGATGTGAAAAAAGACTTTCATGTAAACATTGCACAAAAATACAGTTTACTTTCCTTTAAAAGTGTGTGTAAAGCCCCTGTATTTTATTTTTGTTTTGCTTTCTGGCTGATTTCCCTTCACCTCCAAAGTAGGCATATCCCCTCAGATGGTTATCACTAGAACAGATGTTCCATTTGGAATATTTTTACTCCATTTCTGTTCATGTGGTAACTCAAAAAGATTTCCAATTGGAAACAATGATTACCAGGATCTATAGAGAGAATAAATCTACGCATCACAGATAATGATAAAAAGACAGTCCAATCCTACCACGCTATCCGCTATCCTTAACACATACAAAAAAAGTTTTGGTTTGACATACACTTGAAAAGAACCCTCAATGTCACTAAAAATGTTATAAAAACCGTTAACTTCTACAAATACCATTTTGTCATTTAAGGTTAATAAAATACTGTTCCACTGCAATTTTAAAATAATATTTTTGTGTACCTGCCAAGAAACTCAAAAGTCATATCCCTGCAATATGGAAACCTTGGACACTCTATACTAGCCTTTCTCAACCAGGGTGCTCAGGCACCCTGGGGTGCCTTGAGGTATCTTCAGTGGTACCTTGGTAAAATGTCTAAAAATTGCACAAAACTTGTATACAAGTCAGCGGGTGGAACAAGCCTGCCTTTTAGTTACACAAAGTCACAGGTTTCATTGTGCACCATTATGACCTTCTAGCCGCCGGCATCCTGACAACCAATGACATCATCACTTGATAAGGAGGATGTCAGCTGCCTGCCCAGCATCCTAGTTTGACCCTCCCCTGCACCACTCCATCAATGCTGGGGTCACATTAGCTCAGTGATGGAGAAAAACTGAGGGAGAAGAGAAACATTGGAATACTAGTCAGTGCCAGTGTGCAAAAGTGTATTTGCTTTGGAAGAATAAATCACCTCCAATGTTGGGTGTCCTACATGTATGGATGTTGCTGCCTTATATAAAACCATTAGAATAGTTTTTCACATTTTAGAATGGAGTGCCTCAAGACTGTCCATAATTTTAAAGCGTGCCTCAGGACTGTCCATAATTTTAAAGGGTGCCTTGGGACTGTCCATAATTTTAAAATGTGCCTCAGGACTGTCCATAATTTTAAAGGGTGCCTCGGGACTGTCCATAATTTGATGGGTGCCTCAGGACTGTCCATAATTTTAAAGGGCCTACCGGACTTGGGACTGTCCTAACTTTTTAAAGGGTGCCTCAGGACTGTCCATAATTTGATGGTGCCTCAGGACTGTCCATAATATTAAAGGGTGCGTCAGGACTGTCCATAATATTAAAGGGTGCCTCAGGACTGTCCATAATATTAAAGGATGCCTTTGCTGAAAAAAGGTTGAGAAACACTGCTCTACACAATGCATGTGTACAGAATACCACCAGAAAGCCAATGCCCTGCTTGAGGGAATGGTTCTTTACACTTACCACTGGAAGTCGTGCTAAAAGCATCCTCTGCAATAGCTCTTCAGCATTTGATCTGCTTTCTCCCCAGACTAATTAAAGATGCAAATCCATTGTTGAATAACTGTGTAGGACTATTTCTTACTGTCTTCAACAAGCTCAGATATGAAGGCACGGAGGGATGAAATAAGAAACACATATGGTTTGCATTTCTTTCAATCAGGTATGACAGCCTTCACATCAGGAGCTAAATGTACCCAACCAAATTACTCACCTACTTCTGACTACGTGAGCCAACCATATAGCTTTGACTGCTCGCCACCAAGAGTCACACCTTAGTCTTTCGGAGTATATTTAATAAATCCCCATCTCATAGGTCATAGATGCACTGTCTCGCAGTACAGGGTGGAACGTACCCCAATGAAATATTTTTGTTTTTCATATATTTTATATAATATATATTTTTTCAAGAAAAAATCCATGTTTAAAAGGATTGTAAACATTAGATTTTTTTTTCAAATATGTCATTAGATTTTTTTTTCAAAGGGTTTGCACAGAGCAGCCCCGATTCTCCTCGTCTTGGGTCCCCCACCGACACTCCTAGCTCCTCACCCTTTTGAATGCTCCATAGCAAGTTGCTGGATCGAGATTGGGATCAGGTAAGAATAAATGGGGGGGGGGGGGGCTGTGGGGGGCTGCATACTGAAGTTTGCATTAAGGTAAAGAAAAACCTGCAGCCATTAGAATTACTTTACAAAACCACTTGCCGACCGCAGATAGCCAAATGATGGCTTCACTGCGGTCGACCAGTTCAGGGAGGATATACCACCAAAAGAAAGCTCTATTTGTGTGAAAAAAATGATAAAAATTTCAAAAGGGTACAATGTTGCATGACTGCGCAATTGTCATTCAAAACGCGTCAGCGCTGCAAGCTGAAAATTGGCCTGAGCAGAAAGGAGGTATAAGTGCCCGGTAGGCAAGTGGGTAGAGTAGAACTATAGGCAAAACTTTTTTTTTTCATTTTGAATTGAGCAAGGGAGGGCTATGACTCATGTCAGATTTTTTTTTCACCATCTGTGTCCCATTTCAGAGATTTCCCTTAATTTCCTGTCCTATAGCCAAACAGGAAGTGAGAGGAAATCCCTGAAAATTAAAGGAATCCCTTGGGGACCCCCAGGTCACCAGAATTAGTCTCCCCATTGGAAGATTTTCCCTCTAATATTTTTCTGGAGTCAACCCAAAATTTGGTATTTTCTTTACTTTCAGGAAAATTATAGAGAATGAGTCTCCTTAATGGGGTCACAGACAGTAATAAAAACTGACATGGGCTTTAATCCCACTCCATTCTATCCGAAACAAAAAAACACGGTTTTGTTTTTAGTTATACTTTAAGTGATATGGTTTCCAGCAACCCTGATTAATATCTAATCTATAACTTCTGTCTAAAGCCCCTTACACACATTGAGAATATCGGACGAGTGATCGTCTATTTTTTTTTTGCATTCTTATACTGAAAGTGAAGAAGTTGCTAAAGTTACAAAAATTCTTGTACAACAGAATGACAGTGGTCACTCATTTTTTCTTCCTCCAGAAACCTGGAATATATATATAACTGGTGTGGGAATTTTCCCCATTTAATAGCGTGCAGCAACAGCCCTTAAGAAGGGACAGTCTTTTCTCCCGAAACACGTTGGCTTGATGTACTTGTCATTACTCTCAATAAGTGCCTCTTAATCTACCATCAAATGTGCATTCTTTTGGACATCGGTCGCTGCTAATTTTCTATTATTCCAAGAATAAAAATTTGGAAGCCATGTAATGTATTTGTATTGAATTTTTGGACGCAATCTGTACAGATTAAATGAAAATCGTACAAGAAAAATTTTCATGCTTATCCCTTCAAATAATTTCGGACAGAAGCTGTGTACTACCAATCAGATTATCGTACAATCGCTTCGAAAGCAGTATTTTTCGTATGATTTTCTGTTTGTGTGTACTAGGCTATAGTATCCAAACTTGCTGTGATTTTCAGCCAGTTAGGAAAGTTTTTTACTTGGCTAATGGAATCACAACATGTATGGGAAACCTAAAGGTAGCTTTCAATGTACCACTTCATGTGCTAACAAGAACATTTCTCACCCATAAGAAGCTCCTATGACCTCTACTGACTGTAATTATACAACAGATGTTCATATTACCAATTATGAAAGAACAACTGTAATTAAGGATTGAAATACCCAGAGCAAATTGATTCATGATGAGTCCTCAACACAAAGACCTTTCCAAAATCTACATCTAACACACAGCATTAGGCTGTTTATTACTTCTTAACTAACCCTTTATTGCTAACATGAAATGTCAAGTGTGTTCAGTCATTCATGTGAAAGAGGAGACACAAATTCGAATAGACAGTGAATTTAAACCATTCCTTGGATGCCTCACTGACTCTGATCCATGATTTACACGAGTCGAAATGTAGCTCAGAACAATATAATGCGATAAAAGGTTGCACAAATATTTCTGCAGCACATGTATTAAAATAAAATACTTTTTGTTGTTTCATGCATTCAAACAAAAATTTAAATGTCACAGTTTGGAGAAAAAGAAAAACATTTGGCATTTCCAAAACCTTTAATTTGATAAAATGTGGGCAAATCTACCCTACTTTTTCATACATTTTCTTTTTATTGGTAGTTAGAATGACTTAAAGAGATTCTAAAGGTTTAGTTATTTATTTTTTTGTTAATGTCTATACTTACCTGCTGGGTGCAGGGGTTTTGCACAGAGCAGCCTGGATCCTCCTCTTCAAGGGGCTTCCGTAGGTTCTCCTGGCTCCTCCTGTCCATCGGGTGCCCCCACAGCAAGCAGCTTGCTATGGGGGCACCCGCTTCTCCGTGTGTCCATTCACACACTGAGCCGTGGCTTAGTCTGCCACCTCTCTCCTCATTGGCTGACTGGCTGTGATTGACAGCAGTGGGAGCCAATGGCTCCCGTTTGCTGTCTCAGGCAATGAAGAGGCAGAGACCCAGGGAAGGCTGTCATTCACATTGCTGGGTCACGATGAGGCTCAGATAAGTATTGATGGGGCTGGAGGAGCTGCTGCACATGGAAGGTTTTTTATTTTTATGCATAGAATGTATAAAGGTAAAAAACCATCAGCCTTTACAACTACATTAAACACACAATAGGGCCTGTATAAGTGGATTTTTGTTTGCTTCAACATGTTTTAACATGTAAAGCCCACCTAAATGTGGTCGATCCAGGTAAGAAGGAGGTCAACTGCAGTTTAAAAACACCTGCCAAATAATTTGGAACTATCTCAAAGGTGTCTCAAACATCCATTTATTCCTGCTAAAGGTCGTACTATTTTACGGATGGCTTAAATTTAACTGTCTTGTTAATTGGTTGTTGGGCTCTGTGCAGTCGACATTCATGCCATCACTCTGGTTTAGATGACTTTTGTTTTGTAACCCTACAAAAATCTAAAGCCAAAAATAAAAGCCATAAAAAAATAAAAGGTGTCTCAAACTGATGTCATCGACACAAGACCAAAACATGTCAACATCTGCCTTAAAACATGCTCCCATGTTACACTCAGGTCTTGTTTTTACCCCATATGTATTTTGTCCTGTTTTGCTGCATATTCTATGCTTCAATTCTTTCATAGGGCCCATTCCCACTAATGTATTACATTGCCGTGTACTGGAAAAAGTCCTGCATTTTATAATTCAAGTCATTTAAAAAAAGGCTCCGAATTTGGTGAATAACAAAAAATCTGTATTAGGGTTGCCATTGCTGACCTTCTTTTGAAAATGTTAAAGTGTATGTAAAGGTTTAAAGAAGAACCCCAGGGTGCCACAAAAAAATCGCAATAAGTACACTGACCTATGTAAATAATAAACTTGTAGTAGTTTATTTAAAAGCCTCACTGTTTAGGAGAAATCTAGAATACAATATTTGTGATGTCATTACTCCAATTAAAAAAATAGCAGCTTCTCTTGGCAGAAGGAGGCGGTGCAAATCCAGGGACACGACACAACCAGCCTTCTCACTCTACAGCAGAGGTGTCCAAAACTGGTGGCCCTCCAGCTGTTGCCAAACTACAAGTCCCATGAGGCATTGCAATATTGATAGTTACAAGCATGACTCCCAAAGGCAGAGGCATGGTGGGACTTGTAGTTTCGCAACAGCTGTAGGGCCACTAGTTTGACACCCCTGCTCTACAGCTATGAGAAACGTCAGTTCCCATCATGCAGAGCTGTAGAGTGAGAAGGAAGGGTATGAATGGGTGTGGATGTGGGCAGGTAAATTAGGCATTTGACATGTAATCCACAGTGCAGGCATGGGTTGCTGAGAGAGGGAAGGAGACTCTTGGTCTGTCGGTCAGTAAAAGAGATCATGGGAGGCAGGACAAACCAGGAGTCTCCTGGCTGGCTAATGACAGACAAGACCTGGTGGATGCGGGAATACACGGCATTGCAAAACAGATGTCACAGGCAAGGAAGCCTGTCATTCAAATAATGCACCTCAATTTTTTCAGTGAAGATGTACTGGGGGGAAAAATTAGCAAGATCTTGGCTGAAGGTATGAAACCACCAGGTCTGGAGGAGGGGCGAAATGCGTCGATGTAATTTCCGGTTCTGATGGAGGCTTTGTAACGTCACGTCCGGTGAGTGGGGCACACACTATCCGCGGTGCTCGGGAGCCATCTTTGATGGGATGGAAATGTTGGTTATGTGTTAGAGAAGTCACTGGTAGCTTGTGATGAGGCAGAACTCTGTTTTACTTGTGTGGCTTAAGTTTCAAACATACAGAACACATTTCAGCAGACATCTTGGTTTTTAAGAGAGGAAGAGAGGAAGGGAGAGAGAGAACCAACAAGTTTTACACATATGCACAACTAGTAACCTTAGTGTACAGTGCCATCTACTGGTCAAGTGATATTAACACACAATACTATATAGTACATGCTGTTGTATCTCCAAAAGGAAGCATACACTTGCAGGTCTTAGATAATTGTGATGTGGATACCAAACTGCTGACAGTTTATTTTCCTTTCATGTGGGAGCCATTTATTGAGTTGGTCCAAACGCTTTCTGATGACACTATTAGTGTCCCTATTGTTTCTTTGAATTTCATTTACCCCATT